CTAATCCGCAACCAAGCGTCCCCAAATAGATGCCATGAGGCACGCTGGCTAATACGTTACACTAGCATGTATGCTTGCAGTACCTATTCATTAACGCCAGTTGGGAATCCGCAACCCCCTGCTGAAAATATATACAATTCAGCCCATGTGTGAAATCGAAATCGAATAGAGAGCGCAAATGGTGTGTGGAAAAGGAGGTTTCCTTGCCTATCAGTGGGTATTCGCACCCAGATGAATTTACTGCAACAACTGTGTTGCACATTGGTGTAATGAACGGTGATGAGGCGCCTGAAGATTTTATTGTTAATGATGAACAGGAAGATGACTTGGTTGTATTGGATGGAAATAGAGCAGGTAATGCTCTGCGAGCTGTAATAAAAAAATACAATTTTAATTAAGTTCTTTATCGTATCCTATATTATTTCAGTCGTATACGTACATTTTGCGGCTCTCACACACAACCGATCTTTATAAATAAGGTCTCTGAAGAAAGAGAATTTCAACGAGACGTGACAAATTGCTTTTAAAAATGTGAAGGATTTGTTTAAAACGCATCTAAATATGCATGTCGAATGCAACCCGCAGCGTTCAGTTAGCTATATCGTTAAATTACTCCTAAATGATGTGTTTTGACGCCTTAAAAACTAAAAATTGCAAAGAAACGTTCCTCACACCGTTATCTAAAGAATGATATATTCTTTGATATTCTATTGAATTTTTGCTGTTGAATATCACCTGTATTTCAACCCTTGGAAATGGTTGCCATCTTTGTGACTTAGAAGGCTTAGATTTCTCAATCTTATAATATTTACGCTTTCTGTGTACACCCTGATTTGCGCAGACTGTCGAGGTTTATTTGCACAATTATTAATTCAAAATTCGCACTCGCAGCAACAACTAGAGTTGCTTGATACTGATAAAGATAGTTTCTTATGTATGTAGTGAAAACATTCATTTAATGTTTTGCCGAGGCCTAAAAGAGTTGTGTATCTAGTTGTGGAGGATTGTGGGGTGTCCAGTGAAGTGTAGACGTGACTTGTTAGGTTTGGTTTGTGTTTTACTTGTAACATTATTTTCGTTATCAGTAGTGATTCGGTAAAACTTTCAAGTCAGCGTGTTCAGCCACGTAGCTTTCTCAAGAGTAAAAACCTTTTATAATATTTTTGTAACTATCAAGGAAAGCTAAAAGCTAACTGCTAAGAAAGGCTAAATAGTTACTTCAAATGTTGTTTATAAGGAAGCATGAATTGTTCAAAGAACATACCTCTATAATACTGAATAAATCTCTATTAAAAATTTGTTTCCAACATCAATTTCATTGTTTTTATTTTTGTTTGATATTCTGTAAGTACGTAGTCACAGTTATACCTTTATTATAACAAATACACAATTTTCATTAACAACTTTCATTCTTAATGGAAAGGGGTGGGGATTAACACGCGAGAGTTCTCGCACGGGTACGCTATTTTATACTATTTTTTGTGCCAAATCTACAGCCTTAATGTATAATTCTAATCGTACATTCAGAATGGTTTACTTCCTTAATGGAAATAAACAATTAATTTTTTCGTTGCTCTTCAGTTTTGTACCCTCCCATGGACATAATAAATTACATTCCTACATTTCTTACCTAAAATTGAAAATAATGGGGTTATTTGAGAACTGCATTGTCAATAAATGTTAATAAAACAAAACGATAATTCATAATATTTGATATCACCATACATTAAAAAATGTGATAGACTTAAGGGCGCGTGCGCTAGGCGCGCAATGTTCTCGCGTGGATGCAAGGCGTTTGGATTAGTAACCTTTCGCGGGCCACAATAATGACACCGCGGGCCGCCAGTTGGACAACCCTGTTATAAACGAACGAGAATCGGCTCATCTTCGCGAGAGAACACAGAGACCAACAAGCGGAATGGCATGATATTTATAACCTCCAAAATGTAAGGATCAGTGATGCTTTGCTAGGCGTATCCAATTTCACGACGAGACTGTAGCCCTGGGAATTAACTTAAAACATCCTTGAGTCGGTCCAATGTATTTTAATCTTGAACATTTTAACATGACATTTGACGCTTCCACATCCGTGACAAAGTCTGTGAGAGCCTACGATCTACGTGATTAATAAAAATACTTTGAGGATGTACAACGGACTTTATGCCCTTATACCACGGAATAATAAATTAATTAAAACCAACCATTTTCATTTGAATTACAAAACAGAATGGTCTCGTTCTTCGCATTCGTTCTCTGATTTCGCGACGTCGGAGTCGACTCTTTACGTTAGAAAGAACGTATACCCTGGGGGTAATCAAATCCCTTGACCTCCATTCATTCCAATTCATACTCGAGCTTCACTTTAATCGTCTTGATTGATGGTGTTGATTTACTAGATGTTTCCTGTATCTTGACCATGAAGACTGTCTATAGGGAACCTTACCAGAACCTTACAGTCAACGTACAGTGTTCATGATCTTGACACAGCTTTGCAGTTTGGTAAATTACCATAATTACAATATTAGTGTGCTTTTTCGCGAGTGGAGCTGTGCTATGCCGGGTTGGGCATGAATTCAAAACTGGCCAGTTTACGTTAATAATAACGTCCAATATAATAAAATCGGATTCAGTTTATTTTTTGAAGGCGTGTGAAATAAAAATGTAATAATTTGTGACAAAGCAAAATTTACAGTTACAATTATTAGCCCGCTCTCAGCTGAAGTTTGTTGTGGCTGACAAACTGCTCAGTTTTGGGCTATAAATGAAAAAGACGAGCATGCTTCAGTGTGCTGATAATCACGTACGGTTCTCCAAGTGTCACTAAAATAACAAATGCATCGATTGGAAAATTGTAGAATGCAAAAGTGTGTGATTATGGGGTCCTCTCCTTTAGATCTTTATGCACGGGATTACTTCAATTCCTTAAATTCCATAGCAGAGAAAATTAGCGCGGATATTACTACAACGGTGGCAGCTTATGAAGATTTATGGCATACCTTAAGCATAAGAGACCAACATCAAGTTATTAATGAGACCATTATTCATCCAGAAGTTGTATTAAAATACTCACTTTGCAAAATTGAAAATGATTCAGCTGTCCATGACAGTACTTTATCACACAGCTACTGCATTGATGATGGAAAAGGAATGGTAAGTTGATTATGGGAAAAGGAATGGTGTAATACTTATTCTTTGTATGTAACGTAATATGTTTAAAAAAACACTTAATTTTCTTACAGGGATGGACTGATGAACACTCAGCACCTTTCTCTTGGAAAACACGAAGTCAGCAAGATCTTAGTGTGTTTTGTGAAGATTCAAAGGATTTGCATGTTCAGGCCAACAGCAAAAAATCATTGCAATCAGAACCTATACGGAAAGTAATTTCATCAGGTCATGATTTGTTTATTGATCCTCCAAATATTGTTTTAGGTGGTTCCTCATCAAAGTTGGCATTTACTTCTGTGAATGTTTCATGTCCAGAGAGTAATAACTTTCTAGATAAGATGAAAAGTAAATCTGTTGTTCTGAAGATACAATCAGTGAAGGGACCCCCTAACAAGACAGACAGGAATGTGCAATCTGCTACAGAAATTGATAGTACAGCCTCAAGAGTAAGTGGAAACTGTAAATCTTCAAAGACTCTGCCATCAAGGCTGATTTCAAAACCGAAGAATCCACCGCCTCCACCTCCAAAATCTAAACAGCTTTATTCAAATCCATTGGAAACCAATAATAAGGAAAAAAATACTTTGGATAAACAACCACTTCCACGATTGGAAGCAAAAGTTCCTGCTATTGCTGAGGATAAACTATTTATAGATTCATTTAATGATTTCCATGTTGACATCAATACCAAAAGTGACTTGGTTCCAAAAACTGGGTTTGATTTTTTGGATAACTGGTAGTTAAATGTATTCAGAAAACTTCTTATTCATTTATAATTAGTAAAACTATAAGCAAAGATTGTGTATTGCTAATATTATACAGATGCATTTTTAATGGGAATTACTTTTATTGTTACTTTAGCATACATCAAAGACTGAAAAATGTGATAGCAGCTACTTTGTGAAAACCATTCATAGTAAGCAGGAGTATTGTTTCCAACTTTATTTTGTTTACTTGCCAAGAATGTCTGACTGTGATATTGACTGAGTAATAACGATGATAAAAAAAAGGCCTAAGTCAGAGCAGCAACATGGTGCAAAAATGTGATATAAAATATAATACAAGCAGTGGTTGGTGCACATTGTGAGTTTTTTTATGAAGAATTGAGAATTTACTTGGATGCCCTTGTAAATTTTTAGTGGATTGATTCCAATTTCAGGGAAGAATAAATACTTTGAAAATGGTAACAGTGGCAGATATAAGAGGAAAGAAGTTATTGATTTAGCTTTTCTAGAGGGCTGCAGATGTGGGATTGTAGCTGCAACTTGTGTTTTTGCGGGATGCATAAAAATCCTTAACTTTGAACAAATTATTTGGCATTTTTGATACTTCAGTTTTAATTATATGTTCACTTTCCCAATATGGTTGCAAGCAAATTGCATAAGAGATTCTTTGTATAACTTTCCTTAATTCATGCTTGCAGTTTTTCAATTTCTCAGTTTATATGAGTAAACATATTTCTTATAAAGGTGCTGCAGTTATCCATCACTGCATGATAAAGAACATTTGTGAAATATCCTGAGATACCTTTTGTACAGCAAGGGTCCAAAGTGGCCTTCAAGAACTTAATTTTTGTATTTGTGAAAATTCTAACTTCAAACTTTCTTTTTTCTAACACAATTCTCCTCTCTTCCCTAAGTCTCAAGCAACATTTTAAAGTTTGCTACATCTTTCGTGATAAGATTCTTAAGATTTATTTTCTTTCTCTTTTAAAAGAATGTTGCATAATTCTAATTTTGTTTTTGAAATGAAAATATTTGCATTTCATGAATGGTTAAGTTTAAATCTAATACTGTTGATTTAAACTATTGCTTACTATTTGTGTACCAAAATTCATTTGCATAAATTGTAAAGAAAAATATGCCAGATAATCACAACTCTTTCTAGTCTGCTACTGGTATGCGTTAACTGTAAGAATGAATTGCTCACATAAAACAATGTTCACTTCTAAAAGGATGTAAGTAGGTAAAGCAGAGTGCTAAGATTAGGATTGGATTCTCAAAAATAGGTTGTTGTTTTTTGATTTTTAAGAACATTTCTATAACTGATTAGCTATGCAAACAAAGGTTGATGTGAAATATTTTGTAAAATGTGTACTATTAATTACATGTTGTACCATTCTTTGTGCTTGACATAAGAGAATGACATGATGACAGTTGTCTAATAGTAATGACTGCTTTTTCAATGTCTTAATCTTTCCTTGTTTGTAGCAATTTGGAATGAATAAATGAAAGGGATAAAGAGTCGTACCAGCTGAGCAATTCTACATTGCGTTTGACAACCAAAATCAATATTTCATGTTGTTTAAAACATCCAGACATTTTAAGTATCGGCCTGAAAAATATCAAGGTTAAGGAGTGAAAGTTGGTATTTTATTTAGATTGCCTGTGACTGCTTATGTAGCACACATTCGCAACAGAGGAAAAGCGCTTCTGTACTGCAGATATCAAGGTCCAGCAGTCAAGCACAAAGAACATTGGTACATACAATTGTGCAATTCAAGGCTACAATCATACATTAAAAGCTTCTTCAATTTTTTTTTTTTATGATTGCTAATTTAAGTGTGATGTAGTAAACAGCACAATATAAATAAAAACCAACATGCTATGTCTGTGCAGATTAATTTTAATTAATTTAGTTTTTAAGATTGCATTCTAAGAAATACAACTATTTTTGTTGGCGAGATGGTGTTATTATACAGATATTTTAAATGAAAGTAATTATCTTTACCAAATTTTTTATTCAGTTGATTAGGAGCTTTCTGTCACTTAGACATCTTGAAATCTGCTCTCTAGTTGAATTTCTGACTCTTAATGAAAGATCCAAAATGCCTGCAAGCCTTCAAAAACTCCTAATTTAATGAAACTTGGATAAAGACAATACCCCTTATTTAAACTAAAATGTTTCTTTTTGTTGTGGTTAAGTTTGATTAATTTGAGGAAATGTAAATAACAACCTCAGAAACGTAGTGAGAAAATAAGATTTTTTATTTATTTATTATGCAAGTGAAATATTTTTACTTTTATTTTCTTTCTTCGAGTACAATAATTCAATGCAGTGTATGTCCTTGAATTTATATTTCAGCATATTGGAAATTTATTTTAACATCTACATTTCTTAATCAGTGGAAAGACAACCTCAACTTGGCATCACATTAAATTTGATTAGCCAACTTCCATTATTTGACGATTATAAAACAAATAACGAAAAACTATAAAGAACACTATAAAAAAAAACACTTTTGCTCCTACCTAGTTCCCACCGTTACCAGTCATTTAATAAGTACACTTTTGATGAAAGTATAATGTGTTACAGTGTGTATAATTTCCATGCATCAAAAAACGTTTGCAAATTCAAAGCTATCTAGCAATATCATACAGTCCCTTTCCTTCGAGATACGTTCTGTTCAGCATTGTACAAAGAATTTCTTCGAACAGTATTCTACCACTTCTTTTGTACCACTATACTATAGGAATCTTTCAAGGCTTTATTTACTTTTAAATGTAATAACAACCAGGAAGTTAATATTTATCCTTCCTATATGCAATTACAGAACGAAGCAACAGTATTGACTAGAAAACTTAAATTGTTCTTCCAATGTTTTATAATTCTCTGGCAAGCAATACAAAGTGTTACCCCACTTCTTCCGAACAATATTTGTTAATTTATGTTTTAGAAATAAAAGGAAAAGGCTTGGTTTACCTAGGACTACAGAAATATCTGGGAAGGTAATGCTTAAAATATAACTTTTATTCTAACATTTTACAAGTTGCATGAAATTGAGGCACCATGTATTAAATATTACTTAAAAAAATTATAAACTAACAATTTTTTCCAGAGGCACTTAAGCATATCACAGACTCAATTCTCTTTCGAATCCACCTCATGTTTTATATATGATGTATAAATATCAAATCCTAATGAAATAAGATTATCATACAGGACTCTAAATTTTGGAGGCACAATGTAGAAGTTTACAAGTTGTGCAGGTGGCCACACCATCCACTCAGCAAAGTATAATCTCCAACCTTTTTCAATTACTTCATCCTTATATGTGTCCCAGTCAGATTTCTCAAGCACAGCAAGAGTTCCAAAAAATAACCCTATACATAAAGGAGAACATACAATTTGATCAATAAGAACTTTCTTGATAATATTTCTGAGTGTGCGTCCAGGATACAAGATATCCAAGTAATGATATGTATAGTGGCACAAAATTCCTACAGTAATGCCTGATACTGTCATATTGTAAGTCCGGATTTTATCCCATTTTCGTTTCTCATTCTGCACAATCTCGTACTGTTGCTCAATAAAATCACCCAATGCTGATGAGAACGATGAAATCCCAACGTTCGTTAAAAGAAGATGTTTACTAAAAAGCACACGTCCGACATAGTGACACTGTGCAACTGCTTTAGACCGCAAAATGCGAATGAAGATGTATCGAGCATAATGCATTCTGCAAGACACACCTACACGAAATGAAACTTCTTAACCATCCATAAAGACTGTAAGAAACAAGCATTGTTTCACAATATAGTTGACAAGTACTTTACCTCCCACTAAGTTTGCAATTTAACATAGAAAACTGGATATCACAATAATAGCATCTTACTTCGTTACAAAGGCAACATAACCTCATAATCACGCTGACCAACTAGAAGCTTTGGTAAGACATTGGCCAGTACGTCCTCTTTTTTTTCTCCTGTTTGTTGTATAATGTGCATTGCACAATACGAGTTTTCCAATGATGATGAAACGCATATATTCTAAAAACAATTGGTATTGAAAGGATGACTAACAAACAGAGCGATTCGACGGATTCGTAACGCTCTTCCGAAATATATTACAGCTCTTCTTGTAATTGTGATAACATGTACGACTCCAACGATGACCACATTGTCAAGCGCACGTTAATTGTAGGTCAACTCAACATGCACGAGATGTTTTGCCGCAAAGCCCTCAAGAAAATAGCTGGATGGAAATACATGGCAGCGTTAATGACATACATAATTAAATGTATATCCCAATACCAACTTTGAAAAACTCTGGTACTCTCACTAAAATTCCTGGTACCAGTGCCAATTGATTTAAATTCGAAGTTCATTTAACAATAGGTTATTTTGTAACACACATCGTTAGATCATGGCGGAAATACGTTAAATTTAACTCCATGTCGATTCATTTTATATCGATGAAACGCGTGTTGGTGAAACGCTCCAAGAAGCTACTCTCGAGTAAACATGATTTACTCCAGAGTAAACTGTTACTTTTTTTGGTGAAACCGGCCCTGAAGTACATTTTTCGGTGTCTTTTTATGGTTTACATTGAATATATCGCCAAGATCAAGACAAAAAACAGTCGAGACCATGAAATAACAAAAAAACAAACACACTTTGCTCACGAAATATCGAAATTTTGTCCACTGTAAAATAATATTTGAAAAATGTTTGTAATTTTGTAGTAAAGTAAGGTGGTTGATATCTCGGAAAATAGCAGTGAATTATATACGGCCATGAATGAAAAACGTTATTAAGTGATACGTCTGTTTACTTGGTAATTCTATTTCCTTGGAAAGTGGTGAATCGGACTATTTCCTTGAAAGTATATTTGGGACGGATAGTAAAGATAATGATACTTCTCAGAAATTACTTGAAAGTGTAAAATCTGCAATTTCGAATGTTACCAAAAAAACAAAAATGTTAGTTTTAGGGGTGGTGTACATCGAAGAATGTTTTCAAAATAACAGTATGTAGTTTCTGCGCGGTTTGAAGAAAAGTTCAATTCATTTTGATGATGCCTTATCTTATATGGCGAGACTCAGCAACACCACCTAGATACTAGGTATATCTAGGTGGTATTGGACTCAGGCATGAGGCCTGCTCTTCCGTCTGACCACGCAAAGTTTGCCACGCTTTAGAAGCATGTGGTTCGAAGGGAGAGTGCGATGTGAAGCAAACTGCTTTTTGAATATTCAACATTTGTATTAACTTTAAAACCATTAACTCCTTACTTAATTTTGTGCGTATGTCGCTCGCCCATTGTCGTGGTCGCGCACTGTTGCGAGTTCTCTGGCAGCAAGTTTTTGCAACTTTTAGCGCAAATCAATTGTGTTGCTCAATTATACTCTTTGTATCCAAAGCAAATTGGTTTTCCATGAAGATGCTTAGCTGCATGGCAACCATAGCATGTCACACCATTGCTTTGTCAACACAAATTAGCATCTAGAAAAACAAAATTAGCAATATTTTTTTTTTATTCCATAATGTCCAAAGGGCATGCACTTATACAAATTTAGCAATTACATTCAATTACAAATTATCACATGTGAAAATATTTTAAATGTCTTCAAATTTGTTCCTAGACCCAGCTTCACAAATAGCAGCATTGGAAATGTCTTCAGAGGTTTTTCGTTCTCAGTAATTTTATTTATTAATTAAAATTTATTTATTATATACACTCAATATCTGGACACTGAACAAAGGATAGCCAAGTAAACTTTAATCATTTTCATTTCTTCTAAATTTTTTGTTTCCCTTTGATATTGCAAAATTGTTACAGCTTTGTACTATAGGCTGTATTACTTTACAAAATTTTATGAAGAGCTCTACCTAAGAATAAACATTTAACCACTCAGAATGACAAGGGGGTCTCAGTGCATCAACTAACGACACTGCAGTGCCTCTGGGTGATCCTAGGGCATGGAATAATATAGAATTTTAGAAGTGCTGCCAACAGATAGAGCTTATTGCACTGTTTAAGATGACATAAAGTTAATTTTGCTGCATTCTTTTGTTTTTTCAAAAATTTTGAAAGATCTCTCTCACCTTTAATATGCATATTTCCATCAATTTGTGACTGGACGTGCTTGAAACGAGTTTATATGAAGTTTTTCAGTAACTCAATAATTTCTGTGAAAAGGGGTTCAAATTTCGCATTTACAGTAGCGTATAAACACCATTTTCTTGAAAACATTTTCAAATTTTTGAAAGAAAATTGCCATTTAGGATGAAATTTTTCTTTTTTAAATATTTTAAAATAATATTTCCGTTCTACTTTTAGGAAATAAATTAAAAAGACTGGGCGGCGACAGATGGTACGTGGCAAGTCTGAATTGCTAGCAGAGACAAAGGAAATAGAAAAGTAATATGAGAAAGTGTGTGCCATTCGGGAGCACTCCTAGTTTCATCCCTGAATGCCAGATGTCAATTAAGCCGTGGTCGTTAAGACAAACCACCATTTGATGCAGTTGCACTAATGACTTTATATTTTGTGCTAATGCTGTTGCACTAATGACTGTATTTTGTTCAGGGAGAGCTGTACCAAGGAGCTAAATCACGAAATTCAAATCCAAATTTACAAATTGGTTGATCAGTTGTTATGTTTTTCTCTGAGGAATTACCACAAAATCTTCTATACACACATTTAACAGTGATAATTTTCTTACCTCACTAAAACTTGCATATGCGATGAAACATGCAGGACATTTTGCACTGGTACAATTAGAGCACTCACAAGGGAGTACACCCTATTGGAAAGGCCAAAAGGTGTTCTGCCGAAGAAAAAAAGAGAATTGAAATTCAGCAGCCTGCTTGTATTGCATCTCACAATTGTTTCATGGGAGAAGTAAATTGATTACATAAAAATATAGCTATATACAGAATTAATATTCAAACGAAAAGAATGGTACGATTATACGATTGCTTTTCCCTGGAACATTTCAGCAACAATGTATAGCAGCTGTATCGTCGAACCTCAAAAGGAAATGAAAGACCTGTTCCTGACCCTTCTTAGAAACCACTCAAAAGGAATGTAATACACTGTTAATTAGATGGAATAAAGCACATCAATATCAAGAGCCATTTGTGCAATCACAAAGACTACAAGAAAATGCAAAAAATGTCATGTGAAATGTCATGTTGATTGCTTTGAGTTTTCATTGTCCATAGTGATAAATAAAATATTTGTATATTCATAAATTTTTGTATGTTATGATACTTAATATGTAGGCCTATTGCTTCAATAAAAATAAAATTTTCATACACAACAATTTTTCCCCCACACAACAGTGAACAGAGGACAGAGAAAGTTAGCGCAAGATAAACTTTGGACTTTAAGATCAATTTTATTGAAGATACATTGACGTATGCGTGATTTATTGATTTCAATGTTTAAAGTGTTTTATTTTATTTTGTACATGACAGCGACGTTTTCATGTCATGTTTAACCTCTCAGATGAATCTTCATGAAATGTTTGTTCTACTTCATGATAAATTCAAGAGGGCGGCGAATTAAGTGTAAGCTGATATGGGGAAGGAGCATAGTGTTAAATGTAAATGCCAGGTGGTGGACACAAATGAAAATGTTATAGGATGTGAAGGCATGTGCCAGAAATGGTTACAATTAGTGTTGTGGAGTACATGGTGATAATTAGTGTTGATGTTCAGACATTCAATAAAGCAATGGGGGAAAAGAAATTGAAACTTAAGTGGCAGAGATGTCAAATTAGTGAAAATCTTTGAATTTCTAGCTTTAAATGTAAATACCTATGATCATAGGATAGAAAACTGCAAAAAGGAGTTACAGTGTCTGAAATGTGAAGAAAGAGATAAATTTAAAGATTGCAATGCAGAGGAATATAGATGTAATAATTGTCATGAGATGAACAAAATGACACTTTTATTAGAGGAAAATCATAATGTTTTAAGTACAAAATGTCCAGTGTACAGATGAATGGTAGAAATGAAAAAAAGGGCAGTCAAGTATTGAAATACATGGCAATTAAAGAGGCAAAAGATCCACAATTTTTGAGGGATATTAGTTTTGAATTGATAGATTGATAGTCAAGAGAGAGATGGTAGCTGAATTTGTAGAAAAGAATGGGTTAAGTGTGATTGTTAGAGTAGAATCCCATTTAATGGATATTGATGAAATATGGATGAGACAAAGAGAACGGTGAGTGTCAGATACTAAGATATTTATAGAATCTGACTTGCTGGGTATGTTTGCAGGAGTATATAGATAACCCAGGGGAGGACAAGCAGAATTTATTGTTAGATTTAATTAATTAATAGAGTTATTAGACATGAGCCAAAAACACTACAATTGGGGGAGATTTCAATATTGGAGAATTGGTTAAAATAAGTTGTATACAAGAAGGATTAAAGCATGTATAGAAGGAATAGGTATTAAACATATGGTGAAGAAAGGGACTAGGGTTACTCCAAATAGTGAAACACTGATTGATTTTGTGATCACTAACTATAGGAATCTGGACTGAGAAGCTTTAGATGAACCAAAAATCTCTGATCACAATATAATGTAAACATGTTGATAAATACAAGACAAGGGGAGGAGATAAGGTAGATTACTGTTGAAAGGTAAAATAGATTATAAGAAACTTGTGGATGTAATAAGTCAAAAATTAAGAGATAATGCAAATAGATTTGATATGGGAATTGAGGATGATTATAACATATTAAAGAAAACCATAATTCAAAGGGTGCAAGAATCTAAAAAATGAGATAAATGGGTAAGAAAGAAACTATGCCCATGGCTTTCAAAAGAAATAAAAGAAAAAAATGGTACAAAGAGATATAGCATACAATAGATTTATACTATTAAAAGAAGTAGGTTATGACTCAGAAGAGATATGGAATCAGAATAACAAATGTAGAATAGTTGGAAGGAAGCAAAGAGGAATATTATGATAGCAGTTTGACAGAAAAATGTTTGCTGATGATACATTAATTTACTTCAGTGGAAAAGACATACAAAATGTTATTAGTATAAAAAAATGAAGAATTGGTTTTGGCATGTAAGTGGCTGTGTAGTAACTGAGTATTAATGTCAAGAAAACGAAGTGTATGGTACTAGGAAAAACTGGTATCAGGGACGAAGTTGAAAGAAATCGGACAATGGTGCTTATGGGTTTAAATTTGGATGGAGTTCCGAATTATAAATATCTAGGGGTGATTGTTAACAATGGCTTAAATTTTAAGGATCATGTTAAATATACAAACAATAAAATAGCAAAGAAAGTAAATTTATTATACAAACTAAGAAAAATTATTACAAAGAAAGTAAAGGAGTACTCCATACAGTTCTCACTATGGCAAATAAAAAGAAAATTCATAGCAAGTTTACAATGAAACTGTAATAGAGGAATGAGAGCAGAATTAAATAAAGGGCGTAGGGAAAATGTCAATTCAATGTTAAGAGAGTTTGACTATTTGTTGGTGGAAAGGGAAATTATAAGAGATATTTTAACATTTAAATAGAGAATTGAAAATAAATTGCTCCCTGAAAACTTGGAATATTTGGTAAAAATATCTTAGATGTACATAATTATTTAATAAGGCAAGAAAATACATTCCACCAAGAAAATGTAACAAGCAATAAGTCGCTGATATCAGTATTTAATAACGGAATTGTTTTATGTAATACAATACCAGAGGAAAATAAAAATGTAGGCACAGTCAGAGCAAATAGGGAGGTCAGTCTATGGTTGGTTGCATGCCATTTAAAATGGAATAATTATTGTACAGTTAATTGATGCTTTTTTTGAGTAGTTATTGTGTGTAAAATTGTATATGTCATTAGCCTTTGGCTATCTATAAATAAATAGGTTAAACATCTTTAAAATGAATTTCAAGAAATTAGGTAAAATCTGGACAAGGATTAATTATATCTCAAATATTTTATAATCAAGACTAATTAGTAACATCATATAATTAAATAATAAATATAATAAACATTATTGAAAAAAGCTACATATGATACAATAAATCACACAAATACTGCAGTTACTCGTTGAATTTCAATTGCCAGATTTTGGTAGCCTCAGCTAGAATATTTGCTCTTCAAATTCCAAGGCTTTAATTTCAAACCATTTTCTTGCTAGCCACAAATGTGCACTTACACTTTTTCACATAATCAATTTAATTTATCACTTTTATAAAGAGAAAATGTATTGCACATGTCACTTGAAAATTTTCTATTTCTAGCAATTCCTATTGTTTTGTATTGTATCTTTGAGCGAAACAACACTTTTTCACATTGATTTTTAACAATTCTAGTTGATTTGAGAATTGTGTCAAGTACCATATAAAAGTATCAAAACTAAATGTCATCACCCTGTCACCTTCTTGGAGACGCAATTACATCAGATACATGTTTTACACAGTAAATAGAATCAAGATGTGCTGCTTTACTGATTATTTTAATAATAAAATATGTTCAAAACTAATTGAGCTACAAATAAAAATTTAATGTCAGTTTAACTTCATGTTTTTGAGAAAAAAACTGTCAACAGGTTCACTTTGCTTAAATCCTACAAGAAATTCAAAGAAACAAATTGGAACATCTTTTGAGACTCATGCACAATTTACCATAAATTATATTATTCGTTTCAAATTCAAATGTCCACAATGCCTCTGAAATTGGCTGAAGAATATCTATAAGGAAAAAAATGCCAGCATAGTTTGGATGCTAGTTATTCACAGACATATATATAATTTGTAAAAAATCTGAGAACTTACAAAACTTATTTCCATCAAAATCATAAAACTGACTTCTGACTTTCTTCACATGATCACACCAATATCTCTTTATTGTCAAAATAATATATCACATTTTAAAATAGAATTAGTAATTCTTGTTAATAGCTAAAAATTACTTATTCTTTTCTTCCAATTTTCAAAAATTCCAGACTACAAGGTTTAAATGAATTACAAGGTTAAAAGGTTTGCTACCTGCCCTGTGCATAAACGTTACACAATAATAAACAGTAAGGCTTAGTGCTAAGTAAAATTTTATTGCAAGTAAATTATCATGATTTCATCCAGAATGATAGTTTGTAACAAAATAGAAAATCATTTTACAATGAAAACAATAATAAGTATTCTGAGATTGTAATAGTAATTACTTTAAATGACTTTTACTGCCCATAAAAATAATTATAACTCATTTCATTGTATCTCAGACAATATAATTTTCAGGTACATTTAACCAAAGATAACTGTATGCATTATTAAACATCGTAAATAAAGTTGCAGGATAAGTGAATACAAAATTTCTCAAATAAACTTTTATGCAGTGAAAATTGTACTAATACTAAATAAATTACAATAATTGTGAAATCCCCACATCTTCATCAGTTTCTATTCCAATATCATCTAACAATTCCTTTTTTGTTTTAGGATAACTTTCTAATATTGAATTCACAATGCTCATACATGTGGATTTTCTTTTACGCCACTCCTTTGTCATTCGCTCGTGTTCCTTTTTTGTTTCTTCAAAATCTTTCTTAGATATAGGCACTGAAGTCTGGGAGAGATTTTTAAGTTTTTCTTTTAATTTATCCACTTTGTTTTGTAAAACATCTAAGTCTTTTATTGCATTTTCTGTAGTAGGAGATGAAACTAGATTTCGTAAAAGAGCTTCAGAAGTATGTAATTCTTGCTCCACCAGAGACAGTTTTTCTGAAGCCTGACCTATTCTTTTATCAAGATCTTCTAAAACCTTACTCACTTCATCACTACTAATTCCCATTTTTTGCTGGACAGAGTACACTTTCTGTTTACCATATACTTTCTCTTTAATACTCCCCTTCTCAACAAGTATATCAAGTGATTTTTGAACAGCTGTTTTTCCATACTCTTTATGCAAATTCATAAATATATCATTAGCACTGTATGGTCTGTTCTGAGTAACAAGATACTTCAAGACTGCCTCATCAGCTCCCATTATTCTTGCAAATGCGGCTTAAATGCACCCTCTACCACAGTAAAATAAATACAATTACGTTTTAAATTGAAACACTTACTTCACATTAATTTCACAAAAGAGCACTAAAATGGGAACTCATGTTTTCATGACACTTCAATACTTACAAAGATAATATCAAGGTGGTAACTCAACTTGTCACTAGCTATCGCTAGCCCAGAAGCAAAAACACAACCACGGAGACAACTATGGAATGCACACATACGTACTCATACAGGATCTTGTCACGTTATTTCACAACCTATTCTTGATCTGTTCACAATGCACATTCAGATTCTGGATTCCAGAGCATTTGTTCCCGCCACATTGCCAGTATTGCCAAATTACCAATATTCCCAGGTTAACTGGGTGTACTTTCCTGGAATAACTACAGATCGCATCACAGTCTGGCGAGGGTGCCAACAAATAGCCCACTAAATACGAAGTTTTATTAAAACGGTTTTATATCGTATGTAGCGGGCAATAGTATCAGACATCACTTTTTTTAATTCCAAATTATTCTTTTCAAAACATATCAGTGTCTGATTTAATACATTTCAGGTTTCGGAACGCCTCCAAATTAATCACTAGTTTAATAGAAATATGTGTATATTTATAAAATACTAATTTAATAAATTATAAATCATACTTGTGAGAAAAATTATTTAATTTTGTGTTAACGAAAGTTCGTCGAACTAAAATTTGAAGTTGCCAAGTGTTTTTCTCTTGATGTTTTATTCCATTCTTACTTTGCTCCCGAGATACCACAACGCCGTTCTGTCTGGTTCTGTCGCGTTCCATCAGAAATCAATCCCTGCAATGCAGGGCCTGCATATGGTTAACACAAATTCAAACTAGTGGCAAACTAGCAACAGAATGGCACAGAAATTCTCGTTCTTGTTTTCTAATCTCTCTCATATAGCATATGCATATATATATATATATATATATATATATATATATATATATATATATATATATATATATATATATATATATATATATATTTGCATATATAATTGCGGTTTTATCTGGGGTTGCCACAAGGATAACAATAGTATTCAGGACACCCGAAATATATTTCAGAGCAAATTGTTTGCTTTTTTACAACTAAATAGTCTATCAAGTAAATCATCGTATAACAAGGAAATAGCATTAGTAGATGAAGTAAAATTATCAGCACACTTTCAAGAATATCAGGATGACCACTTACTTTCTAGGAAAATATTCCCTGACTTTTCAAGGTTTTCCAGGCCATTTCCTTATTTTTAATGTATTTCAAAGTATTTAAATAAAATATTAAATAAGCATGACTTTGGTCGATATTAAAACCAGTGGCGTAGGCTCAATGGATGCAAATGATGTGTCGCATACCCAAGTTTTTCGGCTCTATTAAAACTTTTGTTAAAAATATTTTTCTATTCGTATATCTCTTATACCTTTCATTTTTCCATGCGCTTTGCGCCAGGTGTTCGTAACCGAAGTCATTGAACCTCCATGTGGGCAAGATGCGAGATTTCGGGCGACGGTGATGTGACGCTGACTGTCTCTTTTTGGACTTTTCATTGGCGCTTCTGTATTCCCCTACCAAAGTTTCGTTATTCCCTCCTTTGAGCACCTCTTCTTTCAATAGAAGAACTTGGAATCCCAGTCGTCACGTGTTAACAACTGGACTCCGTAGCTTCTTGACCACACTACTAGCGCACGCATGTTTGCCAATAGTCGGGATCCATAGCAGCGTTATAAGGTGGTTATAAGTACCACAGGCCGCAATTTGAAATAGTATGCTTAAAAGCCTCGGCGCCCCGGCCCTCCTCTTGCTACAGCTAAAAGGTCCGCTACTCATAGCTCGCATGCTGTTCGCCAACCATTACTAAACTTTTCTTTTTTTTTTTCTTTTTTTAACAAAATGCTCTCCTGGCTCAATGGTGAAGTTGCTTGCTTTTCACCACTATTTTCTACTCACTATTGTCGACATTATTTCGGACGGACCCAAACAGACAGAGAAAAATTGTAAAACCGTCGGATGTTTTTGTATTAGTATGAAAATAACCATATACCCTTTTAAAAAACAGCTATTTTGAAGATCACAAACGGACGATTCAATTTTATTTACAAATGCTCTCGTCGATCAGTAGCGAAGTCGCTTGCCACTTCGATTCCCGTAGAATCCCCGTAGAACCTCGTGTGAAATTTGTTACGACAAAACGAGTTTGCATGCTTCACGGGGGCTAGTCCAACTCCTGTGAAGCGTCCTAATCCTTACCCCTATTCTTATTCCTTCCCAATTCTGGCCGGTGGCTAGTTACGCAGGAGCACTTAAGAGAGGCGCTGACGCGGAGATGCTTTCTGAAGCGCTCAACGCCCCCCAAAGGGCTTGGTCTAAGTTGACGCAGCCTTTATCGACGTATTGATTGAGTGATCATTCCAGGCGCATCAATGGCTTAGGACATTAATCCCGTAAGTGTGATGCATGTTTTATCACTGGTTGTGGTGGTGGTGGTGGTCGCGATGCTTCTCCTCCGCTGGATGGCGATAGCCGGCGCCAACCGCCCCGTCGGCTTGCGATGTTCACCACATCCAGTTATCTACCACCAGCGGGGCACCGCTCCAGGCGGGAGAAGCACTAAGCTCCTGACTGGTCTCTCGGAATATGTGATAGTGCCGTGCATTATGTGTGTGTAAGTATGAGGTGAATATAAGACATGGGAGAGGAAGGAAAGATTGCGCGCGGTCCGTGGCTCGTTTGTTAGGATACTTTTTCGGAATTCACCTGGTGTTGATCGGAGAAATCACGGAAAACTATCGATCAGAGCAGCCGGCTCTAGAATTCTCCTCCAGACAGCGACTGAATTCGACCTATGTGTCGAAAATCCTGCCATCACCGGGACTCGAACCCTAGGACCTCCCGATCAGAGACATCTTCTATTCTTTTTATTCAGGAAACTAAATTCAGTCCCTTGTTCGCACTGCAATGACAGTACAGATACACAATAACCTCACTTGCGAGGGCTGCCTCAGCGAGCGAGCAACATGGCCGACAGAACAAACGCTCGGAGCGCGAGCTCGCTCGGTGTAAACGGGTAGAATACTCTGTTTTTTATTTCTTGGCGTGAGAGGGCTTGTCTTCACGGTGGAATATCTTATGGCGTTTCGCGTCTCTCTCAGTCGCGCCGTGAGATATTCCTTCGTGAAGACAGGCCCTCACGCGCCAAGATATAAAAACCCAAATACAACTTCTCCCCCGCGATTATCCGCTGAACGAATGAGCCCTCTTTCAGAATAGTTTGTTCGCTCGCTCGATGTAAACGCACATTCAGGGCGTGTGCATCTACCACCGTTGGGGCACTACCGAATTCCATCACAACAGTGAGTCTGCAAGAGTTGAAAATACGAGTGGTTTAGATTTATTTAGTCCAAAAAAAAAAGTAAAAACTGTGTGACATATGGGGGAGAAGATCATCTGCGCACGTTTTCTTGAGTTCCAGAATCCCTTCCCATCATTTTAACTTTAAATATTTGAAAGATGAGAAAAAGTTTAAAATAAATAAAAACTTTTTTTTAAATTGAGAGATTAGTGATATTTAAAAAATAGACATTGGAGACAGCTAAATGCTGATCCCCTGATAAAAATTACATGCACCTGCCACCGTAATAATGTTTCTGAGGTCCGGTAAATGCAGGGTGCATGCACGCGCGGTCCAAGTCAGCCTATTGGCGAGCAAAAAAAATGTCGAAAAGCCGGTGGAAACGTGTATGCGTTAGAATCACGTCATCAAAAGGATGTGAACAGGCGGGACATAATACCGAATTTCAAAAAAACTAGCTTTGTTTACTTTCCTCTCGTTTTTAAATAAATTTCAATCACAATAAATTTTCATCCAAGTATTATTCATGTAGGCTACAAAATAATATTTATTTCATGCGAAAGTTCTCCTGTTAGCTGGATGACAAAAATAAGAATACAAGCTGACCACACGTATGACAACACCTGTGAAACGAATGTATATTTATTTATTTATTTATTTATTCAAAAAACAATAAAAACTATATGTGAAGTATGGGGGAGAAGATAATCTGTGAACGTTTTTTTGAAATCTAGAATCCTTTCCCAATAAATTATTAAAAATAAAATTAAAAAAGTGCGAGATTAGCGACATTTGGAAAATTAGACATTTTCGTTTCCGAGTAATAGAAAACTTATTTACATCGGTAAACGAATTGCAAGTATGATTTTTCTGCATTGCTAACAAAATAGTAACTTGCCCTTACCTCTACACCTATGATTACAAGCAAAAGGAGATGTCAACAAAATGTGCGCATAGTGAAGCTACATTTACGTTCAGAAGCAAAACAAGGAGCGATCTTAGCATTTGCTCAATGGATCAGGGAAACTGGACAAAAATCTGATCGAGATGTGGAGTGTTTATGAAAGATCTTTCATTATTGCTACATATACCAGGATAGTGAAATTTGCGAAACAAAATAATTGTATTTGTGTAAAACGTTTCCAAACAAGTGCTTATTGCACAGTGCTGGAGTGCGATCACTGTATTTCCAAACCAAGTTCTATTTATTTTCTTGTTACTGCTTACGCAATAAAATACGGATTTCGTATTTAAATACTGCAGAAAAAACCGCAAACTTTCGACAGAAAAACTATGTATCAAAACTATTCTTAAAAACATCCCAAATACATAAGTTACGCGTGCAGTCATCGGGGTCTCTTAGCTTTCAAGTAACACTTTGTTTAAATTGAGTGTTTCATCCGGAAACGGAATGTTACGCTACACGTTTTACAAATAATGAAATTTGTAAGTACACTCCATTTTATTGTACAATTATATGTTTAATAAATTAACAACTGTAATATAATGTACGACAGCCTTTTTCATTTTTTTATAGTCTATTCATTCCAAGGATTTAACGAACCTTACAAATCGGCCACTAGATTTTATGAAGCTATGCCAATCTCTGGAGAG